TTCCTTTCCTTTCCTTTCCTTTCCTTTCCTTTCCTTTCCTTTCCTTTCCTTTCCTTTCCTTTCCTTTCCTTTCCTTTCCTTTCCTTTCCTTTCCTTTCCTTTCCTTTCCTTTCCTTTCCTTTCCTTTCCTTTCCTTTCCTTTCCTTTCCTTTCCTTTCCTTTCCTTTCCTTTCCTTTCCTTTCCTTTCCTTTCCTTTCCTTTCCTTTCCTTTCCTTTCCTTTCCTTTCCTTTCCTTTCCTTTCCTTTCCTTTCCTTTCCTTTCCTTCCCTTCCCTTCCCTTCCCTTCCCTTCCCTTCCCTTCCCTTTCCTCCCCTTTCCTCCCCTTTCCTCCCCTTTCCTCCCCTTTCCTCCCCTTTCCTCCCCTTTCCTCTCCTTTCCTCTCCTCTCCTTTCCTCTCGTTGCCCCTGGAGACAGTTTAGTGTCCACAAAAAAAGGAGAAACAACTACAAAGTAATATTATTCTCTAAGATTGCAGCTGTGCAGTAATTCATGTGCACCTCATGTCATCTCTGCAGATGTATCCCAGCAACATCTTGTAATTTATTTTCTTTTAAGATAAGGGGGAAAAAGGCAGCACACTGTCAAAACCAAGCTTGTGCTAATCATGGCTTTAAGAGCACAGCTCTCTGAGAGTGCAGTTCAAATTTTGGGGCCTTGGCAATGTAGCTAAAATACAGATTTTCTCTACTATAGTAGGGACTAATTTAGGGTAGCTCTGTAACAAAATTTCGAGGTATAAATGTCACTATAGTGTCCAAACATTAGCTGTCTATTTTTACTTGTTTTGAGCAGTGGAAAATTGTCAACAGGTAGTTGTCACTTTGTGCCTTGGAATTCAATTATTTTCCCAGAGATGTCATGACTATCTTGCATGCCTGGAGAGGAGCTTATCCCACCCCACTCCAGGTTTGAACTTGGCATATAAATGACATGTAGCACAGGATTGTGATGGTGTGATGAATGTTCAAAGTGTGCATGCACACAACCCCTTCAGACTTACAGGTGCTATTTTCTCAAAAAGAGAAAAGATGGAAACATGTCTGTTTAAAAGTTGTCTGCATTACCCTGGCATCAGCTGTGTCATTTTATATGGAAAGTTGTTTGGCTGGTTTTGCAAAACAATTTCCTGGAAAAGCTCCATAATTATTAATAAATATATATACCTAGGTTGTCTTTGTTTAGTGATAAAAAAAGTCAAATTTAGCACAGCACCAGTATCCAGCAACACAGACCATACACAGAGATGTCAGCAGGCAGGGCACACCTGATATATTTCTAAACAAGCAAGTTTTGTAAATTGCTCTTAAGGATGCACTTCTTAGAAAGACATAATAAAGATAAATATTTCATGCCCAATAACAGTGTTGTGCCTTATTTTTAGCTTTCCTGGGAGTTTCAATATTTAGCAAGGTTTTTCTTTGAAAACATGAATCATTTGCAATATGAATTATTTCTGAGAACTATATTTTCCCAGGAAAGCAGCCTCTCAGGGCTTCAAGAACTCCAGGGAATGGAGATAATTTCTCAGAGGAGATGATGGGTATGGCCAAAGCTGAGGAGTTACTAAATTTCTGGACTGCAGCAGTTAAGAATTCCAGTAGTTTGCTTCAGGTTCATCCAGTATTTTCCTTATGTAATGAAAGGCATTACCACATGATAGCAAGTTTTTGGTTTAGAGCTTTGCACCAGTAATTTTAATTTGTCAAATTGTTCATCATCTTTAGAAAAAGAAATTTAATATATTGTGTATACCCTTCAGGCTGGAAACCTTTTAAGCTCCAGGTGAGTGAGCAGCTTGACCAGTCTTCAGTGAAAACTGGAAATGGACAGAAAGTAAACGTGCAGTCCCACCCTGGCTGCAGAAGTACTCAGCACCCTTGGTAACACTTTGGTAACATATTTTTGGCCTGCTTTTAAGGTATCTTTTAGAGCCAAACCTATACTTCAGGAAAAAATATAACATCTTCAGCCAGAGATACAATTGTAGGAAAGACTGGAGGTGGATGAGCAGCCTGGAAATTGATGCAGGTTTATTGAATGTTTTTTTTATGTATGGTTTAGTCCTGACATGAGCCTAGGGAAGGCTACCTGTTTGTTTAATTTTTACTTAGGCCTTTTGAGACACATTTTCCACATTAGTTTTCCACTTTAGTTAAAATTTAACCTCAATTAAATTTCCTCTGGAATGTGCCTACTTAATCAGACAAAATAATGAAGATGAAAACTTGAGGTACTGACTGCACAGTTTGGTTGGTTGGTTGGTTTTGTTGATTTATTTTTTTCCTTTAAACTTTTAGTTCGTGCTAAAATATTTGGTTCAGAAACTCAGAAATACTCATTTTAATAGTTAAAAAATAGGATTCTCCTTTTGAGTCTTTTTTGTGTGCTTAAAGTCATGAATGATTTTTAAATTTCTTACTTTAAACTACATTTGAGTCCCTAAAAGGCTTTATATTTGTTGTCTTTACTATTATTATCTTTTTTAATGACTAATAAAGACCAAATTAGCATTTAAAGGGCAGTAATCTGATCTTAATTCCTGGGCTGTTTTTCCTGACCATCCCACTGGAGCTCAGGGGAATTTTGAATATTGAATCCCTCCCTTACCTCTCTCTTGTGAAACCCTGGAGGTGCCAGGCAGGATGTTGTTTGTAGCTCAGAGGGATGTTTTGAAAGGTTCCTTGAGGAAAAGTATCTATGGGTAAGGAGCAGATCCAGTTGGAAGATGTGGATGTAGGAAAGCACTACTTCCTTCTGCTCACATGGGAATTTCCGTGTACTTTTTAATTTACGTGTTTATTCACATACAAAACAGGAATCCTGAGAAAGCTGTGTGTCACATCTTATTTTATGACATTTTATGCTATTCAAGTATTGTCAACTGCTGCCTTAAAACATTTCAAGAGCTGAAAGGGGATTTGACAAATAAAATTGCAGGTGGTTTTAGTAAAGGTCTTTGTTTTTGCTGTTTTCTGCAGTCCTTTATTTTGCTCCTGTGCGTGGTGGTTAGCATTGCTGTTTTCTGCTTTACCTGCTCAGTTCTGGGGCAGATTAAGTTGCCTTCCTTGTACCCCACAGCCTCTTTGTTTCTCACCCCACACCCCAACCTTTTGTTTAATCTACCCATGTGTGTGCTGATGCTCCATCTAACAGCTTTAAAATAGCATTATCCATGAGGCAGGAGCTGATCCAGGAACTCTGGCAGTTTAGGGTGGAGCAGGACATGGCTGTGGAGACCAGGAGGATTTTTGGGATTTTTGGATTCTCTCATGGGGCACAAACCAAAGCAGAGGCCCAACACCAATCACCAGGCCATTGTCACCTGGCTGGGGAAGGGGGCATATGGAAAAACACCCCTGGGGCATCTTGGAGTGGCATCAGCTCCTCAGGAATCCAGGGAGGTGGAGGATGCCCCAGGGTGACTGAAGCACTTGGCACTGGGTGGACACTTGCCAGGGGCAGAATGGGGGGACCCTCGTGTTAAGGACACCCACCCCTTCAAGATCACATGGGGATCCCACCGATTCCTGTCCCCCCAGAATTATTGCCACAGCCCGGGGGGTGCTGCAAAGGCCAGAAGATAACCCTGCAAGGAGGGATAACATGATTTTGGGGATCCCAGGCAGAGGGGTGAGGTGTTGATGGCCTGGCAGTCCTGATGAGGCCATGCCACTCACAAGGGGTGTCATTACCATGGGGATCCCATGTAATCACTACAGGAGGGACTCAGAATTTGGGGAGGTTAATGCTCCTGAGTGTCCCGATGTCCTGTGTCCCCAGTGGCCTGACTCCCAAACCGGGGGTTGTCATAGCTCTGGGAGTCCTACTGAGCTCAAGCTCCCCTCAGGAATCAAGTGTCCCAAACCTGTGGGTACTGCAAAGTTCAGGAGACAAATAGGAAAAGACAGGATCCTGGTTGTGGGGGTCCCACAGCCACCCCAAGTGTCCCAGAGGTCCTGCCAAGCCCAGCATACCCAGGACAGAGGGTCCCATGGGGGTCCCAGGGCCATACTTCTGCCACCCCAGCAGGCAGGAACAGCAGCCAGGGGGCCAACATTTGCCCTTGCCCCCACCCATCTTGTTCTTGGGGAAGCCAACACACCCCACAGGGAAGCCACTGCCCACAGCCCTGACCCCTGCCAGCAGCAGTCCCTGTACCCAAATCCCTCGAGCCCTCCAGCCCAGCCTGCCTGTCCCCCCAGCCCTGGATCAGGGTTCCCAGCCCTGCAGGGCCCTGGTGGGGGCAGTGAGAGCTCAAGAGCCAGGTTTGTTCTCCTGCAGGAGGAGTTTATTAACAGAGACTGGAACAAATGATCCTAACAACAAACACAAAAATATTCATAACAATAAACACAAAATAAATTATGAAGATAAACAATAAGAAATAATTATAATGATAAGCAAACAAAAATATTTACAATAATAGAAAAAAACAAAGTCATAACAATAAGCAAACGCAAACCTAATCTTAACACTAAATACCTAAAATACTAAATACAATCCCACCTCCAGTGTTCCCCTGGTGGGGCTGTGGGACCCCTGAGCGCTCACGGGTGCCGCTAACGGATGAGGAGCGCCCGCCGAGCGCGTCGGATCTGCCCGCGGAACTTGCGCAGCTGCTCCTTGAAGGCCGGGTGCTCCATGGGCCGATAGCTCTGGGGCTCGCAGTGGCTCTGCAACCCACAGCTCCCTCAGCCCCCGCAGTGCAGCCTCCGGCTCGCCCCCATCCCGGGCCAAAGCCAGCACCCCCGGCCCTGGAGATCCTCTCCCACCGCAGGGAAGATGCTCAGAGCCAGAGCTGCCCTTCCCCAGTGCCCTGTGTCCCCTTCAGGTGCTGCCCTCCTGCCAGTGAGGGGACAGCGGGTGGAGACTCACCGAGAACTGGAAGAAGAACTCACGGTACCCTCCCTTCAAGACGTAGAGCTCGGGGTAGTGCAGCTGAGGGTACTCGTGGCAGGACCGATCCCTCTGCCGCAGGAACTTGCACCTGTGCCACAGAGAAAGCCCCATGGCATCACCCCCGTGCGGACACCCGGGCGTGCCTGGGGGGCTGGCAGACCCCAATGTGTCCCCCTGCCATCGCTCACATTTTGGGCCCCCGCTCAGCCGAGAATTCACAGTGGAAGATGATGATCACCCTCTTGCTGGCGTCCAGGGGCACAATGGGCTGCGCCAGCAGGAATTCCTCCACGTCCCGCTGCAGCGGCAGGTTGACAGCACCCTGGGGAGGGACAGGAGGCACATTTTTCCCCTCTGCCTCCAATTTAATTTTCTGCAAGGACCCAAGGACACTGTCCCCCAGCCTGCTCCACCATCAAGCTCCTCTTTCCACTTGGGTATCAACCCTTTAGGGGTTGGCTTGGCACTTTTCACGGGACTGCTCTATCCCTCTGGGCAGCTCAGTACCCTTCATGGGGGCCTGCTCAAGCCCTTTGGAGGCTCAGGGTACCACTGTGGGGGCTGCTTTACTCCTGTCTGGGAGCTCAGTGTCTTTGGAGGGGCTGTGGAATCTCTCGGAGGGCACTCAACAAATCCCGGGGATCCCGAATCCCTGTTGTCTCAGCGCCTCCTGGGGAAATGCTCAACCCCTCTGAGAGTGGATGGGGTTCGGACACCCCCTCCCTCCTGGCCCCCGGAACATGGGAGGGGTCTGACCTTGATGTGGCCCCCCTCATACTCATAGGGGTAGCGGCAATCCACGACGATGCTGCTCTGGATGGAGCTGCAGAACTGCCCCGTCAGCACCGCCACCAGCTGCGAGGGGAGCGTGTCACCAAGGTGGGGACACACGGGGGCAGGTGGGGGGGAAAAGGCAGGCAGCCCTGTGGGGGGGATGGGGAAAGGTCGCTGTCCCCTTACCGTGTCAGGAGAGATGTATTTCAGACCCGGGTCCTTCCCCTCCACCGTCGGCAGGAGGTAAGGCTGGAGGAGACAGGCTCTGGGATCATCCCCATCCCAGGGACATCTCCCGGGGATGGCACCTGTCTCCCCAGCCCAGGAGCCCCCAGTGACCAGTTCTGCACCCACGGGAGGGGGAGGGACAGATACATGTGGCTGTGGCAGGGGGATGGACCAGAGGAGCAGGGATGGGGCTCTTGATCCTCTGCAGGGGCTGCAGGCTGGCAAGTCAAAGTCCCATGTCCTCAGGCATGGGCCACCAGCTTGCTTTGGGCTCTCACAGCAGTGCAGGGCTCCAATGATGGTCCCAATGCAGCATCCCTAGACCTGCCCCATCCTTGTGCCCCTACCTTGGAGAAGTCCCCAATAAGCTCCTGGTCATCGTTGGCCAGCAGGTTCTCGATCTCCTCCAGCTGGGCAGACATGGAAGGCTTCAGGCACACTCCCTGTGGAGACACCAACCAGAGACACCCCCAGATATCAGCAGGGGCTCTGACAGAGCCGGGGCATGGCCCAGTCCTGCCAGTGACAGACTGGGTCTCACCCCACACCTTCCCCATCACACACCAGCTCCACCAATGCCACCTGCTTAGGGCTGCCAGCCACCCTCTTCTGCTGCTTGGCCTTGACAGGAGCGTCCCTCTCCAAGGGCTGTCTCCTCTTCATGATGGGTCTAGGGGCACTGAAGAGCTCTGAGGGCGAGCAGAAGAGCTGCTGGCACAGGATGTGCTTCCCCAGACGCTGTAGGGAGAGTCTGCTGCTGCCTGGGGCTCTGGCAAGTCCTCAGCACCTGGGCTGGTGCTGCTCACCAGCCAGCCCCCACCCTAGTGACCTTTGGCCCCTGACCCCCTTTGGAGAGCCCAAACTGTGGGTCTCCACCCATTGCCAAAGGCTGCCACATACCAGCTTTGCTTTCTCCTTCTTCATCCCTGGTGTGCTCACAAGCTTCTGCATCGCCTGGGGCACAGTGGCATCACTCTGCCAGGGCAGCAGCTGGGGGGACTTGGGGGAGAGGCAGAGGAGATCTTGAAGGGCACAAGATCTTCCAGCTGCTTCCCACCCCCAGGACCCCATACCCAAGGCCCATCCACCTCCAAGTGCCTTCCAGGTTTGGAGTCAGGGTGTCCCCGTGACCGTCCCCAGCCCACCCATCACCCACATCCACAGGTCTCCAGGGCACTGAGGGAGGTTGGAGCGGCAGCTCCCATGTATTCAGCCCCAGGATCACCCATCCTTGGTGCCCTCCCAAGCTTCCCAGCCTCTCTCACCAGCAGCTCTGGTGCACTGCAGGGGCTTTTGGCAAGGGAGTCCCTCCTGGCAGCCCCATGGCCGGTGAGCAGCTGGCTCCGCTGGCCCAGCCTCTGCAGCTTCTTGGCGACAAAGCCCTCCTGCAGTGAGAGGGACACGGCATCAGCATCCCTCTGCTCCCTCCCTGACCCCCAGCTCTTGCTGCCCCCTCACCTCATCCCTGGGATCCCTCTGGCGCCGCCGCCCTCTGTCCCTGCGCTCCTGGAGCTGGGTGATGTCCTTCAGGACCGGGCTGCCTTCCAGCTGCCACTGCTGTGGGACAGCCAGGCGCTGAGAGATGCTGCACAGCACAGCCCCATCTTCTGCCTCCATCCTCCTCGTCCCATATCGGCCAGGGACTCGGTAGCATCCTGCACGCTCTGCAGCACTTACCGGCAAGGAGTGGATCCTCTGGCGAAGGAGCTTCCTGCTGCAAGAGCCAGTAAAGGAAAGGATCAAATGACAGCACGTGGCCTGGACCGCTATGTCCCACCCAATGTCTGCCATTGTCACCTCCGTCCCTTATGTCCTCAGGGTGGGGTAAGAGCTCCCCAGGGCTGTCACAGCTCCCCAGAGGGACCCGCGGCAGAAGCACTTCCAGGCACTGAGCGAACACCAATGGCCTGAGTGGGACCCCAGGAGGGGCGTGGGGACAGCCTGGCTTTTGGGTCTGGGACAGGGACAGCCTGGGCACGGGGACAGCCTAGCATTGATGTCCTGCCACAGGGACAGAGCCCCTTCACTTACTCTTTGAGAGCTCTCCCAGAGTCCGAGATCTTTTTCTGGAAGCTGTGGGGTGAGCAGAGATGAGGTTTATGGGGGGTGGCATACACGTCCCCGCCCAAGCAGCCCAGGTTGTCACCCTGCAGACACAGCCGAGGGCTCACAGCTGGATTTGCAGCCCCTACTGAGGCTCAGAGCGGGCCCGGCTGCTCAGGAGAGGCAGGGGAGGGACAGGGGCTGTCCCCGGGGGGACACGAGGATGGGGCCACTCACTCTTCCTCCACGGCTGCGGGGCTCTGCTGTGTGCGGGAGTCCGGCCCCAGTCCTGCGGGAACGAGGGACAAGGGTAGCCCCAGTGTGGGGATGGGGGTCCTGGCCCCAGCCCAGGGCACCGGCAAGATGGGGCGGGCAGGGAGCCCCCCAGCAGGCGGGTGGCACCGCCGTTGGGAGCAGCGGTCCCGCATGGAATGTCGCGCGTCACCCTGAGCAGGCGGGGGAGCGATTCCTGGCTGAGCCCC